TAATTACTAGTCACATTAGTCAAGATTTAAACAGAATCTGGACTTGACAGTCCAGGCCTGTTTATGCTTCACAGCTTTGCTATTTAATTATTGTTCACAGGACTCCCTCACAAGGCTACAAGAACCTTGAGAACACTCGGGCATAGTCATCTGGGGGTACCCTGCACCAGAGCAGAGTAACTGACACAGAAAAGATCTCAGGAAAGTGAAAGATGAGTGAATGAACAGCTTCAAGGAGTAGGGCAGTAGGCTCTCCATCTTATGCATCTCCCCCCAAACAGACCTGTTATTATGCCCAACTTTCTCATGGCTCCTTATTATCCATTTGCCAGATTCAATCATTTGGCTCTGAAGTTCTGAGTCCCTCTTCTTAAAACATAATGACTGCTTTAAAAGTCATAGCTACACAAGAGAAATACCCCCAGTGTATTCTTTAAAATACATGCTGAAAGATATTTTTATTTTAATACTATATTAAAAAATTACTTTTAATAAAAATCATATCTCATTAAAGGGCCTGTTCCTTAAGTTTTAGAGAGAACTCAATATATTGAAGTGTTCCTTGTGCCTTGTTTCTCACTTGGGAGAACTGAGTGAATCCACCACTGCAGCTGTGCTCCTGAGAGAATGTTGCCCTTTGAACAGAAGGCAAAGGTACTTCCAGATGAGGAGCACAGGTGATATGAAAGAACTGGGGCAAGGGAAGATGCTTTTGAGATTTATTTATTCAGAATTCTAACTTATACAAATGATTTAAATTACAATCTTTTGATAAAGCTATAATCTAATATTAAATAAACAACTTACCATTTAATAAGGGATCATCATTCTTACACAGGCTCAAAGCCCCCTAATGTAAAACTAAATGAAAACAATCACCTGTGAGGAAGAACTCCCTACAGTGCTAAAACCCAGAGGTATAGAGTGTGTTTTACTATTTTATTACCCCACTTTTCATATGTCCAATCCTAATAAATCTATCCAGAAAAAGCATTAAAATGGATTTTAAATTCAAACACATGAGGTAGGTAGATTGATAAGATGCCTAATAATGCTTATGACTGTGGCCTTTAGCTATTTTTTTTTTTTTTTTGTAAATTACATACACACCTATATTCCCAGTACTCAGGAGGCTGACGCAGGAGGATCACAAGTATGAGGCTACCCTGGGCATCTTAGCCAGACACTGTCTCCAATTAAAAATATAAAGGGCTTGAGATGTAGCTCAGTGGTAGAGGGCCCCTGGGTTCAATCCCCAGTACCACAATAAATAAATAAAATAAATTACATGCAGACAACTAAAGACATTGATGAAAATATGTACAATTTTTGCCAAAGAACCTGAGGTATACCCTGGTCTTTTCTACTTTTTAGTTGCCTTAAAAATTCTAACTGCAACCTGCTAAAATTGATTTTGTAACCCACTGATGAGTTGTAACTACAGTTTTTTGAAAA